AAAATTGAATGTTTAATGGAATTGAATGTGCAATTACCTGGGAATTGGGCGTACTTTTAGACCGATTTCAAAAGTCTTCAACATGTAGCTTTTTTATACCAAGCGCAAAATACTCTAAAAAGTTTGGTAGAAGATGATAAATTTGTTACCAAGGTATACACACATGATCATAAGTGGGCAGTGCCACGCCCATTTATAAAAAATGTATTATTGCTATTATTGAAAATATCGAATTAGCTTCCACAATTGGCAACCCTCTTCTTTGTTGAACCAAAGTCAACCACTTTCAAAATGGGTGTATACTAGTGAAGCGGTTACAGAGATACACATTCTCCAATAATGTATAAGGATCTTTTTTGGCAAAGACTTTTAGTGAATTGGCTTCAATAATTACTAAAATATCACAGTTTATGTATTTCTGCAAACTAGGGATGGGTAGTGGGGGGTTGAAATTCGATTTTTTCCGAATTTCGAACATTGCCCAACCATTCGATTATTCAATTCGAAATTCGGTGGTGCAAATTCGATTTAATTCGAATTTTTTCGAATTTTCCAACAATTTTTTGAAGTGAAACTTCTTAATCGAGTTCGGAGATGTTTGCGTTAAATATTAACACCATGTTATAAAATCTGTATCGTTCGTTCGATTTTCATAAAGGAGGTAGGTGTCAAATGAAAGGGGTTGCCCTGTAGATGTGTAATATGGTTTTAGCTTTGTGCCATATGAATGTATGTAAGAAAATCAAAATCAAATTATTTAAAAAGTTATATAAATTACCCCAATATGGGTATCAACCGAAATGATTTTGAATAAACTTTATTTTTGAATTGCATTTAAGAGGGGTGCCACCTGTTTGAAAAGTCTAATTTAGTTAAAGAAGTGTTATGCTTAAAATACTATGCAACAATTACAATAATTTTGAGGTGCTGTTTAAAAACTTAAACTCAAATTACACCGTAGTCCACCAAACCCAGCCCAAACCAGCCCGAACCAGCCCGGACTTTGTTAACATTTTCTGAAAGTATACCCATCCAGTAGTAAAACACTCGGTGGATTTGCGAAAGTTAGCTCGTATTTTTATTTCATGGCCTACTAAATTTTCATGTCTCGGCCTAAGTAGTTTTCAAAAAAATAGTTAAAATAAATGTCTGAGCGAAATTAAAGGTTAAGACATAGATATATAATAAAATTTCATGGGAAATATTTTCGTAGAGCATTTTAACCTATTGGCTCCCGCCTAGAAGGGTAATTTTGATCCTTACTTCAATAAATCCCGCAAAAAGCAAATTCGGAAGGCCGTTAGAGGACTGGTGTACTCTAGAAAATTATTCTCCAGAAAATTTTACTAGGGGTCTTCTCAGGCAAAAGCTTCGTGCTACCAACGTAAAAGCCTCTACAAATTTAAAATAAAGAATCAACAAAAAAAGTACTTTTTGCAATTTTTTTTTTTTAATTTAAGAATAATAGTTCCTTCTTGGCACAGATTTTTTGTCTCGATGCATCGGATCGAAAAAGATGTATTCTTTACTTGCATCCCTAAAATCTGAGATTATTTTATAATTACAGATTAACAAGGGACGAATTTTATATGGCTAATCTCTTGTTCTAATTACAGATTAGGGTGTTAATCTCGAAAATGAGGATAACCTACTTATATGTGAACCTAGTATAAGACAAATGGAGTACCACACACAGTGATGGCAAATTTAGTCAGAAACAAGAAAGTTGTAGAGTTGATTTTTTTGGAAATAAATATCAAATTCGATTTTTTCTAGAAAAATTCGATTTATCCGAATGTTAGCAACTCCAAGTTCGATTTCAAAAATTCGCCATTTTTGAGCTAAAATTCGATTAAAATGCGAATATCGAAGCTTCGAATATCAAATTTACCCATCCCTACTGCAAACTATCTCAATTCGTTTAGGCTTTAGGTTCGGGTATAAAAATTATAGTTCAAGACTTTACTGCTGGGTTACTACTCTTTATAGCAGGTACTCCCACAGGTAAGTACACAGATAAGTGCACTGATATGCAAAAGCAAAAC